AAAATTACAGCATCGGTCTTAACCTTTCAACTTTGCAGGCTTTATTTTAACCTTTAATTGGTATTTTATTTTTATTTTATTTTAGATTTTTTGTTTATTTATTTAATTGATAATTCTAAAGTTAATATTTTACCCCTTTCAATTTGATCAAAATTGGTGAAATCTAATTTTCTTGGTCAGCTAATGGTCAAATAGATGATTTATCAAAAGTTGGGGATCTTTGTTGGCATAAACTGAATATTAGGGTAAAGCTTGCAAAAGATTGATAGGTTCAGGATCGTTGCTACAATTTTCCCTTGAGAAAATTACTAAAAATTATGTCTTTGTAATTTTAATTTCAATAATTAGACTTTAACCTTTTTCTCAAAAAATTAGGTAGTCGCGTACTAACAAATAATATGTCACATATAAATTATTTCACAATTAGACATCATATAATAAGTCACAATCATAAAATTTATGGGTTACGATCATTTATTGGAAAAGGCCACCATTACATGCTATTTAGTTTTTGAAAGTTTTTTGACAAATCTATGAATTTTAAAATTATATTGTAGTTATGAAATTTTTCCACAGTATTCATATGTTAATTATATTAGTTAAATCATATTTTGAATAATGGATGTAGGGGGTCAAAAACAAAGTGATTCCCATGTCACTAAACCACCATGAAATTATAAAAGACGTGGAAAAGCAAAACACTAACAAAGATGTAAATTTTAAAAATCACTTGTTATGTACGATGTGTGTACATCACGACCTCTATCATTGTTTAGTCTTTGATGAGTGTCCTAGTTCCACACTTTTGGAGCATTGCAAGAGGAAATAAAGAGAAAGTTGAGGTTGATCACGAGGAGTGTCCTTTACTCTTACGGTTCTTCCTTCCGAGTAAACTAAGTTTGACTTTTTTCATATATTATGTTATGGATAATTTATACTTTAGTGTATTTAGTACATACGTATTTTGATTGACTGATTAAGACTTCTGAGTGTCATCAATGAGTAAAAATTTAATTATGGAATTTACGAAAGTGCTATCTTATTTATAAATTGGAATCGCTAATGTCATTGTGGTATTATGACAAAATAAATTGAACTATGATTGGTGCATGGGTCCTACACAAGGCATGGACTTTTGGAGATGTTTTGCTCTTCTAATGCTAATCGATGATGACTACCTTATAGCCTTTTAGGAAAGCTGACTTCTGCACTGTCGTTTGGAGACACGTTGCCTTTTTTCATCCTTCCCATAATTTTTCTTATCTCCTTACAATAGATAATCATTCAATACAAATTTGAAGAGTTGCTTAAATAAGTAAAAGTTGTAAGACTCTAATTACTTGTTTCAGGCCAGGTTATGTGCATATAAAATAATCATTCAACACAAATTTGATGAGTTGCTTAATTAGAAACACGTAAGTAAAGATCGTATGACTCTAATTATTCGTTTCAAACCACTTTATGTGTGTATAAAGACATTCATCATGCATGACATGATAACAGAAAAAGTCATCTATACAAATGAGAGGCGTTTAAATTTAATGTATTAAACATAAACAAAACATATCATTGACGAAATCAAATATGTCCAACAAACAGAGGTTAAGTATTATGAAAGATAACTTTACGTAATACATTATTAAACTGTTTTTATTATTATTATTATTATTATTATTATTATTATCATCATCATCTTCGATTTAAACATGTTTAGTCTGTATATTTGTTGATTGCTCTCCCTTTTTGGAAAACTACTTACCAATTTATGTTTTTATTTTTATTTTTTTTCAGAAACCTCTTACCTAGAAGAAATAGCATTAAAAGCAACGTTTGGTTTTATGCTAGGTTTAAACGATTTCAATGCATTTTGATTATGTGATGTATCAAAAGTCTCCTCTCACCATAAAAATGCAACCAGAACTTCCATATTACCATTTGTGTCGTGTGGGTCCTAATTTATTTTATTTATTTAGGGTCATGTTTAGGTCCTCAAACTGTCCTTCTTAGTGCGAGAACGGACAAATGGATGAAAATCGTTCGACATTCCTTTGAATAGTGATATTTCTGTCTATCCATAACCGAAGCTCCAGTCTTTGCAAGTGACTATCTGACACAAATTCGAATGATTTTCATCTGTTTCGCGCGTGTTAGTCGCTAACAATTAAAAAGAGATCAGGCGATTCTGTAAGGGACAAACCTCTTGAAACAAAGTTCCAAAAAGGGGTGTTTTTATTGGCGATGACTTTACAATTGGAAAGTAAAAAAAAGAATGCCTCCAAGGGGCGCAAGCACACGAGTTACTGTAAAAGAAGTGTTTAAATCTAAACTAAGAAATTCAAAATTACATATTCTCTGTTTGAGAGTGTTTGATTCGGGGTCCTTTTGCTCTATGTCTTTTCTTCCTTTTATACTCCCTGGATGATCTCTTCGTGATCAACCGCTTAAAAACTGCTTGATCGCTCTATAACTGCCCACTTTCCTTGTAGTGACCAACTTGTTATGAAACTGCCTTCTCTAATTGCTACCATTACTTTTGTCGTTCAACCGTCTTCAATTGAATCCCTTGAATCGTGGGACGTGGTAGGACTACCCAATAACTGCTTTATTAACTGCACCATAACATCTTACGTTTGCTAAGATGTTGGGCGACTCGAATGTTTGGACGAGAGCAGGGTTACAGCTCTGAGGGACTGCATGGCAATTCATTCGCTCAAATCTTGGGCGACTTGTAACCTTGGGCGATGGTATTATCGCGTTCATGGGCTTCCCTATTTGGGCCTTTATCCTGTATGGCCTGATTGATTCGTTCTTTGGGCTATTTGATTTTTGGGGATCTTCCTGTTGGGCTTCATTCCTTGGGCTATTCGACTTTTGTTTCGCGCGGGTTAGTTGCTAACAATTAAAAAGGGATCAGACGATTGTGTAAGGGACAAATCTCTTGAGATAAAATCCCAAAAATGGGTGTTTTTATTGGCGATGACTTTACAATTGGAAAGGTAAAACAGAATGCCTCCAAGGGACGCAAGCACACAAGTTACTATAAAAGAAGTGTTTAAATCTAAACTAAGAAATTAAAAGTTACATATTCTCTGTTTGAGAGTATTTGATTCGGGGTCCTTTTGCTCTATGTCTTTTCTTCCTTTTATACTCCCTGGATGATCTCTTCGTGATCAACCGCTTAAAAACTGCTTGATCGCTTTATAACTGCCCACTTTCCTTATAGTGGCCAACTTGTCATGAAACTGCCCTCTCTAACTGTTACCATTACTTTTGTCGTTCAACCGTCTTCAATTGAATCCCTTAAATCGTGGGACGTGGTAGGACTACCCAATAACTGCTTTATTAACTGCACCGTAACATCTTACGTTTGCTAAGATGTTGGGCAACTCGAATGTTTGGACGAGAACAGGGTCACAGTTCTGGACGACTGCATGGCAATTCATTCGCTCAAATCTTGGGCAACTTGCAACCTTGGGCGATGGTATTACCGCGTTCATGAGCTTCCCTATTTGGGCCTTTATCCTGTATTGCCTGATTGATTCGTTCTTTGGGCTATTTGATTTTTGGGGATCTTCCAGTTGGGCTTCATTCCTTGAGCTATTCGACTTGGGCTGAACTTTTTATGTGTCAATACCATCCATCTTATTCCACACAAGGGGAAAAAAAAAGAAAAAAGAAAAAAGAGAAAGAAAAAGAAAAAGGAAAAGAAAAAGATTAATACCAGAAAATCCTCTATAAATGTTTTCAAGTGCGATATACCTCCTACTTATTAGAGATCGCAAAAAATCTCCATGTTTGAAACTTTTTGGGTGAAAAGTCTCCTAACATCAACAGGGACGAATCCAGCATCGAAGTCCAGTTAGGGCGGAAGTTGATTGTTGACCGTCGACAATCAACGATCATAATAGTTCAACCGTTTATTAAAATTTAATTAAATAATATTAAAATTTATTAGATATATATGTAAATGAACTAAAATTCCCAACATCTTCTCAATTAAATTTTTTAAATTTATCCTAATTTCTTACACATAAATTTCCAAATCAATAATCATAACTTATAAAACATAAATTACTTATCATAAATCACAATTTGCAAACATAATTTCGTAAACATAAATTCCCAAATCAATAATCATTCCTCATTAAAATATAAGATACTTATAATAAATCACAATTTGCAAACATAAATTCCCAACTCAAAATAATCATAACTCATGAAACATAAATTACTTATCATAAATTACAATTCGCAAACATAATTTCATAAACATAAATTTCCAAATCAATAACCATAACATCATTAACATTCATTACTAAAAAAAAAAAAGGAGGGAGAGAGAATAGTCACCAGCTCAAGACCGAAAAGCAGAAAATCGAAATGGCAGATGACACTCGGCAGTTGGCAGCAGAACACATCGTTGGCGGCTCCGGGCTCTGGTGACTCCTCCTCCTCATGGCGTTGGTGCTGCCTCTTCTTCGTTGCTGCGCTGTGTGGATTGTAGAAGGGAGGAAAAGGGTTTGGCTTTCACGATTTGGGCATTTCACATTTGGATTGTTGGCTTTCACGATTTGAAAATGGTTTGATCATTTGGAAATTGGACCATTTGTTTATTCATTCATTTGAGAATTGAGCTAAACAAAAAGAGGCCCAACTTCTGATTATCAATGGGAAAAAATCAAATTTCAGTTGTTATATTTACCCCAATTCAAAAATCAGGTAAATAGTTTAAAAATTCAAAAATCAAGTATGTATTTTATTAATTAATAATATTTATTAAATAAAAATAATTAAGTCACAGTTACATGATTAATGGTCACAAGTTCATAATTAGAGGTCACAGATTTATTTACTAGTCACATATCGTCAAATTAATTGGTCACTAATTTTTTCATGGTCACAAATAAAAAATTTTGTAAGTCACATATTATTTCGAGATCACATATTATTCAAATTACAGGTCACATTTTATTTATGAGTCACAGTTTATTGGTCACAAATTATTTTTGAGTCACAGACACCTATTATTTAGTCGTAAATCAGTCAAATGGTTGGTCACACAGGCCTAAATATTTGGTCACAGACACCCCCATATGTCACTGTCATCGCTACTGCAAAAACCACTACCACCATCATCAACAACAATATAACAATAGTTGGGCACCACCGCCACCAACACTCCCTCCACTTATGACCACCCTTGCCAGCACCACAACACAACCACCACTCCTATAAACACCTCCATCTGCATCGCCAAAAATCGTTGCTAGATCCACCATCATCGCTAATAATTCTTCTTGAACAACCAACAAAACACCTAAAACCCCCAAAACCACCAAAATATCCCCAAACCACCGCCTAATTCAATAAAACCCACCCAACTGCTAGATCCACCACCACAAATCCCCACTACACAAACACAAACACCATCACCATCGACCACACAAGCACCATCACCACTACATATTTATTGGTGAAAAGAAAAATATTACAAAAATTTGGCAGATCCAGTTGACTAATTCGGCAAATCGAATTACAAAAATTCTCCTCACAAATCCAGATGAGTAATTCAACAAATCAAGTTACAGGATCCTCTTCTCATCGTCGTGCTGTGGCGGTGGTCTCCGGTAGTAGGCGGCGATCTCTAGGAGTGAAGCATTGACGGTTTCGGTTCTTCTCCTTTATGTTCTTTATCCTTTTCTTCACAAATCGGCATATCAAATTATAGGAATTCTCTTCTCTATCGTTGTGCTGTGGCGGTAGCCTCCAGTAATGGGCAGCGGTCTCCTGGAGTGGGCGATGCCACCTGAGGAGTGGGTTACGTGGGGAGAGTGAGCAGGGAGAATGGAGAGAAATGAATTTGAATTTTAGGGTTTATAATTGGATTGTGATGAAATATGATTGATATATTTTATATTGATATTATTAATATTAATAGTCAAATCAATACCTGAATTATGAATGAAAAATTTGTACACCTTACTTTTGCACCGTGATCTTGAATTGTCTGGGATTTTGTAAGTTCCTCTTTATCAATTACTCACTCAGCCCAACCAACAAAAAAAAAAAAAAGGGGGTCATCTCTTTCATCTTCGTCTTCTGTCTCTGCTCGGATCTACAAGTCTGCAACTGCATCGGCATGATTGCTACCCGGCAGTTCTACACATTTCGATGGAGCCAGCACGCGCGACCGGATCCCCTCGTTGGGTGCGGGCTCCGCGCCTGACCGTCAAGATCGGTTAGATTTTCAATCAAAAATGGTATAATTGCAATTTCAATCCCTAAACTTTTTATTTTTTCCAAAATTAAATTCAAATTTTTTATATGTGTCGCCTACAATTCCAAATGTTTAAAACTTTATTTTTCATCCTACACCACCTACTTCATCTTCTTTCCCAAAAATATAAAAATCAATCCTTCCTGTCTTTAAAATCAAAGTTCTAAAGAATTAAAAATCTGTTAAAACATCAAATTGTGCTTCCCTCAAATCCTTCGGGCAACCAGTTTTCTTTTTCGTTTTCTTCTTGGTTCTTGCCTATTCTAACAATCCATACGAATTTTTGGCTTGAGACTTCAAGACCCTTTGAAATTTCATGTAATTGTTTTACAGTAAAGGTTGCCATACTTCTAGAACAAATGTAATCTACATAATTTGGTTCCTTGGAGTTTATTTTCACTGTTTTTAGTTTTTTTTTCCCTTGAAAAGCCACTCCTGTAAAGAATTAAAACTCCCTGATTTACCCAGTTTGAAGCACTAACCGGAAAGCTGTGCCTTTACTTTCCAGTTTCCAATATCCATAAACTTCAAGAACAAACACAAGTTTGATGAAACGAAATATAATAAAAGTACAAGTAGAGCCATCCCCAATAATTAACCGTCATGAAACGAGGCATTCAATGATGACGAGCCATTGATTTCGCCCAAAAAATGTTTATTCATATTCCAGAAGCTAACGGGGAGAAAGATTCGGCCGCCCGAGGTAGAGGTGAGTGGCGATTTTCGGCGATTTCCTTCCAAGTTTAGGCGACAATGATGGCATGGCTGTGGATTTGATTTTCTGGGTTTAGGAGGGTGCGTGGGGTTGGGAAGAGATTTTGGAGTTAATAATTTGCATAAAACATTTTTTAATTTCATATGGGTATGGCATTTTTTGGAGTCTCAATTGGATTTTTAGGGAAGAAGATGAAGTGGGGTGGGGTGTTTAAGCTTTGGAATTTTAGGTGACATATATAAAAAAATTGGATTTAATATGTAAAAAGATAAAAGTTCGACCACTAAAATTGAAATTATTTCTTTTTAATTTTGACATTTTTGACATTTTTAATAGAAAATCTAACAATATTGACAGTAGAGTTTTTCGCACAAAGGATTTCAAACGTGAAGTTTTCTATTATTTCCAATAGGTATGGAGTATTGTCAAATGTGAAAACGTTTAAGGGGGTTTTCTGTTATTAATCAAAAAAAAAAAAAGAAAAAAAAGAAAAAAATTATGGTTCGGTAATGCAACTAAAAAAATGAATGAGACAAGTTGTAATGTTCAGGGACTGGCTGAAAATTTCGCTAATTATTTCGAGCATTAATGCGAGGCTATTTTCGAGATTTCATGTGTAAACACCTGTCATTACATGCGGGGCCCACTTTGCTTGCTTAACATATACGAATAAAGTCAGGAGTACAACAAATTTTTAATAGAACTTGTACGATGTGGTAAAATATGATTAAATTATTTTTTTTTCTTTTTTTTTTTTCTTTTTTCAATGATATCGTGCCATGTGTTATCTGTTAAAATTTTCTGTCAAAAAATCTTGTAGTAGCATAAAATTAATAAAATAAAATAAAATTCAAGAAAAAATGGGGGAAAAATAAAAGGAGGAGAATTCCATTTTCTTTTGCATGAAGACGTATAAAACCCAAGTTACATCGCCGTAACCAAAACCAAACTGAAAGTGGAGAATGATAATTGAAAAAAGTCTGCTTTAGTGAATGTCCAGTGTTCCATTAAGCCTCAAAAAGCAACAAAATTTGTTGTTTATGGCATAATATCCATTGATGGACAAACAAACATGAAACAAAAGCAGCGGTTTTTTCTTTTTTCTGGTTTGTTAATGGGGGTGACTGAGACTTTGAGATTCATACGAAAGCTACTAAAAAATAAGCCCATAATTCACCTTACAGATGATATTCAATAACTCTTTTTCCGTTTTTGAATAATCCCATTTGTTTATCGTCTTCAATGCATAGTTCTCTTTTATCATTGATTTCGCTTCTCTCTCTCTAATGGCTGAAAGACAGAGATTTATGGGAATCAACAAGGCATGTATTCTTCTCATAGGTAAACGATATTTTCTACTCTTTTTTGTGCTAATAAGTGATTATTTTAAGCTGCTTATTCCATGTTTATGTTCTTGAAATTATAGTGATTTCTGGGATGGAGAGGTTTGCATTCAAAGGGGTGGCTTCAAATATGGTAACTTATTTAACTGATGTTATGAAGATGAGCAATTCCTCAGCTGCCAAGACTCTTAATAGTTGGGTGGGTTTTACTTCGATGCTGCCTTTGATAGTGGCCGCACTGGCAGACTCTTACTTAGACAAGTATTCTACAATTTTAGCCTCTTCGGTTCTCTATGTCGCGGTGAGTCGAATTGAATAGGCAATACTCCATTTTTAAATCGTACGTTTCAGTTGTTAGAGACGGATAAATTTATTCATTTGAATGGTGATGAATTTAGTGGAAATCTATACAGAAATCATTTGTTTTAAAATGATGGAAGCCAAATCACTGGCCACTTATCCTTGTCAGATCACCCAAATGCTACTTTTTGTGATGTGACAAATAATTGGGATTAGAATTTCATCATATTTCTCAGAATATAATAGTTTAGATAAATGTGTGTAGTAATTTTCATTGATCATACTAAGTGTACATTTTTTTCTTTATTAACTTTTACACATTTCCACTTGGCATTCATCAAAGCCATTGATTTCTACAACACCATATCACTTCACTATCCAAATTTTGACACACATGGGAGAATGTCAACTAGGATGTAACCTAGAATGTACATATAGCTTAATTTAATTTTCATCTCTGCAATGTGTAGATAACATTTGTACTTTGAACTATTAGGGGCTTTTAGCATTGACATCAACCGCGATACGATGTTCTTGGAATCCAATGAACAAAATCAGTTCAGCTTCGTCCCTTTCTTGGTCTCTATACATGATATCACTTGGCCAAGGAGGCTACAATCCGTCCTTACAAGCCTTCGGAGCAGAACAACTAGGAGACGACAATGGATTACCTTGTACTAGCAATAATGACCAAAGCTCCAAAAAGAAAAGCTTATTTTTCCAATGGTGGTACTTTGGTGTTTGTTGTGGAAGCCTCCTAGGTGTCTCAGTAATGTCATATATGCAAGAAACTTTAGGATGGGGACTCGGATTTGCCATTCCCACGATGGCAATGGTAGCATCAATCGCTATGTTTTTGTGTGGAAACCAGTTTTATACGCACAAACAAGAGAGGAATATCGATGGTAAGTCATTTGAAGAAATAATTCAAACAGTTAAAGCCGCTATATCAAAGATGATCAATCGATGGAATATGCCTACTAATGATTACAATGTAGTCGAGCTAGAGTAAGTTTTTCCTATTATATATAAAACTTCCTTTTTTCCCCTAGCCGAATTAGTATACTAACGAGTATATATGTTACATTTACAGACTTCAGGAGAAAGCACTCTGTAGTCGAGATCCTAATGCCATCGAGGGCTTTCGAGAAAATTCCAACGAAAATATTCATCCCTTTCGAGCTGCAAAAATGGTACTACATCTGCTGCCGGTTTGGCTAATGCTTCTTATGTTCGCAGTAATTTTTCAACAACCTGCAACATTCTTTACCAAACAAGGAATGACAATGAGGAGGAACATCGGCACAAAATTCAAAATCCCACCGGCCGCACTCCAAAGTGCAATAACCGTGTCGATTATTATTCTGATGCCATTGTACGACCCATGTTTCATCCCTCTCGTACGTGTTTTGACAAGAAATGAAAAGGGAATCACTGTTACGCAGAGAATGGGAATCGGGATGTTCCTCTCGGTCATAGCCATGGTAATTGCTGCTGTTACTGAAAGAAAGAGGCTCCAAATTGGTAAAGAAATGCCAAATTCTGAGTCAGTCCCATTTAGCATCTTTTGGTTGCTTCCTCAATACATCCTCTTAGGCATTTCAGATATATTCACAGTTGTTGGAATGCAAGAGTTTTTCTATTCTGAAGTTCCTGTAAGAATGAGGACAACAGGAATTGCTCTATACACAAGTGTTTTTGGGGTAGGAAGTTTCTTAAGTGCCCTTCTCATATCTCTCATCGACTACTTCACAAGTTCGAGAGGAAGGAAAAACGGGTGGTTCTCGGATGACATGAATGAAGCTCGACTCGATAAATATTACTGGTTCTTGGCTGTGTCGAGTGCAATAAGCTTGTTAACTTTTGTGGTTTATTGTAGATTTCTTAAAAGTAGAACATAAGATTACTTTGAAGTACTTGTTTAAAATCACGTGTTCGAGATCAGGTTATCAATTGACTTCTGTCTAAATAGCCTTGAGGAGCTGTCTGGTAGCAATTAATTGCAAATTTTAAGCAAAAATTTTACCGTTGCCTGTCGTCATTGTGGACTTTCTTCTCACAAAAACTTTCACATGGAACCCACTAACGATTGAAAAATCCATTATTTTGCCCCCTAAAATCAGGCCCAGACAAGCAATCAAAAGTTTTGAACTAGTGGAAGTATTTAAGATGCTGATCTTCGAAGGTGTGGCTTATTTTGAACTTAAGTGGGTCCATGTTAAAAATAAGTAACACGCTAGAAATGTTTAACTTTATGATAGAAGAGAATAACATTGTTGAAATATGAAACTTATTAATTTTATTTTGTAGTTTGTTGAGTGAAATATTAGCTTCTACTAATAATTTATCAATATCATGGCTTATATATGAACTATAATAATAAAAAAAAAAAATTTTAAAAAAAAAAAAAAAAAAAAAAAAAAAACTGAATTTCTAATCATCTTCGTGCTATTGTTTAACTACTGTATTAAGAGCCTATTTGAGTCTCATATTTTGTAAGAATGCATTTTGAAATAATAAATTGATGGAGAATGTGTGACTAAAAAATAAAAAAATAAATTTGGAATTTGCAAAGAACGTGTTGTTAGAAAGAAGAGAAAGAAAAGTGTATTTTAAAATTAACGAGAATCAACTAAGGGTTAAAGAAAAACCTTAGTGGATTTAAAAAAAAAAAAAAAAAAAAAAAAAAACTGAATTTCTAATCATCTTCGTGCTATTGTTTAACTACTGTATTAAGAGCCTATTTGAGTCTCATATTTTGTAAGAATGCATTTTGAAATAATAAATTGATGGAGAATGTGTGACTAAAAAATAAAAAAATAAATTTGGAATTTGCAAAGAACGTGTTGTTAGAAAGAAGAGAAAGAAAAGTGTATTTTAAAATTAACGAGAATCAACTAAGGGTTAAAGAAAAACCTTAGTGGACTCAGTATGGGCTTATGTGCCGGGTTGCTGTCCATCTTCGTAATTGGGCCAAGTATCCTATCTGGATCTGGTCTCTTTATGGTGGGCCCATGACTTGTAGTCTGGTTGTGGGTACCATAGAATAAATTCTTTTTCTCTGGTCTATTCGATTTTCGTTAAATTTACTAATTGTTATGCTATTATATCGTACAAAAGCATGTGAACCCATGATTTTTTTTTCGTTTGTAATGATATAAAAAGCAACATTGAGCTGAAAATAAGGTGAAAAGAGAATAAAAAAGAACAATTATTCTACTTTTCCTCTTAAAATCATGGAACAAACTTGCCAATAAATATTTGAACAGGACTATCCATGTGATAAAAAGACGAGAAAAATGAAAAGTTGTAACTAACGTGTCCAAATTCAATTATACAGTTACGTAATTTGCAAATTTTTAATAAATCAAGAAACCATATATACAGTTCTTCGATGATAGTTTTTTATAATCTCATCTCATCTTGTAGTCTCTTGGCAAGGAAACAAACATGAAAGTTAAAGGGGCGTTGGATTATTTTGTAATTGCACCTATATTTATTTTGGGGGTATTTCAAGAATGTGTAAATGGTCGAGCTTCTCTTCATTCAATCCCTAGGCCTCGCCCAGATGATGCAGCAAACTTTGCTCGATGGTTGGTTTCCCAGAGTTCATGGGGTGTTCTTAAGTGAGTATTTTGCAGATTTATATCTAGACACAAAAACATGATTTGTCATATAATGAGAATACGATGGATTCAATTTTTTGCAGCACCATATCAAGTGATTGGGGAGGTGCACCTTTCGGGTATCTTAACTAAATCCAACCCCTTACCATACTTAATCGATCCTAAATGCAACATTGATCGTTCTTGTCAAAACTCATGGAATTGTGTAGAAAAAATTCTAAGTTAACTCGTACTATGCAGGAATGTTGTTTCATTTAGTGATGGTCTGCTGGATAAAGGCGAAGGCATCCCATATTTCTATCTAACTACCCTTGATCCAACTGCAAGAAATGCACTGAAAGACCAAAGATCTTCCTTTACATCAAGTGAATATAGCCTTGGAACATGTGGCAAAACTGATCCCGAGAACCCAACTTGCGCAAAAATTACACTCATAGGAAAGGTACACGATTCCTCAATTCACTGCCTTAGACTTTATGTTTCTATGTACCACTGTGTTCAAAACATGCACTAATAGTTTGAAGTATGTCTTCCGTGTAGTTAGTATTAGTCGATGGAAATTCAAAGGAAGCTGAATTTGCTCGAACTGCGTTGTTCGTAAAGCACCCCGAAATGAAAGGTAAGTATAAGCTGAAAATTTCTTACACTCATTCTACTTTGTTATGTATTTCGAAAATGTTTGTGTCACAATCTTTTTTCAATTGTTGGGCAGGCTGGCCTAAGAGTCACAATTTTGAGGTCTTCAAATTGGAAATTGAAAATATATTTATGATTAATTGGTTCGGCGGTCCTAAGCCTCTTACGGTGGATCAGTATCTCCATGCCAAAATGTGACAAAAAGAATTTACCAACTTATTATCCCAAACTATATGTATAAATACTGAACCTCAATAAAAAGTATATTGGGTTTTCGTGATATTTTGACATTATAACTGTTTCTTAAACATGCTTGATATTCTGATATTTTCTCCTCATTTTCTTATCCATTTTGGATCTAAATTCACCATACCCTGATATCTACATATTACCAAAGAAACTTGTTAAAATTGACGCCACCGTGCACCCCATCCCTTCACAACTGAAGAGACTACATTACCTTAACTTTTGCAAGCTACTCATCCGCTGCATAGAAATGTCAATGACAAACTAGATTTTAATTTATAATTTGAAGAAGCTAAAAGAGGCTAGTGATTATGGTGCAAAAACTACTTTTATAATTATAAAATAAAATTAATGAGAGTGACGAACTTCGTTTAATGGAACTACATGAGATTCATAGCAAGCTACGTGGTATGTTAGATTCAACTAATTCCTTCACATATTCTTTTTATTAGAATTATTTAGACGAGGTTGTAATAAAAGAAGTACTTTCAATTTCATTGTTTTTCAAGATTCTTATTCTTTCGTTCTTGAAATATATTCTGGAGGTAAGGTAAGAAAATTACGTCCCCTTCTGCTTGTACTTGAATTTTTATAGGTAAAACAGGATATGGAAATTTGAAACTCTATTGGATCTAGGTGGGGGACTAAATTCTCGTGTAGTCTTTGATGGTATTTTACAATATAAAAATTGCAGATGATTTACTTATCCAAAAGGATTATTTTAATCCTTTTCTTTTGACACGCAAAATGAGAAACTGGGCTAATTCAAAAGTATGTTTGAAATTAGAATTGTTAAGACCTTTTTAGTTCTAGAAAATCTATAAAATTCCTTTCAAGGGGTATTTTCCCTAACCTAATCTACACAAGCATCCAACAAAAAATTATTCGTTATTTAAAAAAGGTGATTAGTTGAGGACAATAGTTAAGTAAAAAGTTACTTACTCGATAACCCCTTGACAGTATATTAAGCAAAATTTAAATATTAAGTACTTGTTTGAAAAAGCTTATAAGTTGTTGAAAAGTTTAAGGTTAAAATCAATTTTAATCATACATTTCATCATTTTTTATCAAAATTTACTAACGCTTTTATCAAAAATGTTGTCACCAACCCCTAAATAAGTCTAGAGGATATTCATTAATCAATTGAGGGAGGCTCCTTCGATGGCGTACATGTTCACTAACTAAAGATCTAAAATATGTAATGGGAAAATATATCTAAACATGTTCAAGCGGATGACATATCTATTATGTTAATGTTGTCGAAGTAAACACCATATACGGGACGAATCTAGGATGTTGAGCCAGCACGGGCGGCCATAATAAAATATTAAGGGTTTGTTTGATGTCATTTTTTGCAAAAAAAAAAAAAAAAATGCATTTTGGAATAGTGATTTAATGGAAAATAAATTTAAATAAAATAATTATTTTGTTGAAGTTGAACATATATAATTTTGTTATAAGAATAAATCATACTCACCAAATAACAACATTGCTTCGTATAATTCAAAGGAAGAACAAGGTATTAAAAATTTTATAATTGCATTAAAACCACTAAAATTTTACATATATTATTTTGTTAAACTTTGTACCACAACTCATCAAGTGTCATAATGGTCAAGCTTCATTATATCTTAGAATAGGTCACAGGTTCAATTCCTCATTAGACCTTTCTTTATTTCAATTGCTTTTGGTGAAAATTGTATAACTAAAAATTTATACAATAAATTGGTGGACAGATTTGAACCCGGGACGTAAAATAAACAAATGCAAGGGCTGACCAACTCGGCTACAAGGAACGGTTGAAAGAAAAGTGACTTACCATTAATATATCCTATATATTTGTCTATTCTCAGTAAAAAAAAATGGTTCCCGGCGGATCCAGCACGCGCGGCCGCGGGGGCTCGCCGGGTGCTGGATCCGTCGGTGACCATATACGTACAAATTGCTATGAGTCAAATTCAAGGAAACGTGTAATAAATTTCTTTCACTTTTTTTCTTATTATTCAGACTTTTGCACACAAAATAAATACATTTTTCTCCGTGCAAAACTCTATGGAAATTCTTCGGAGAAATTCAGATGCACCCTTGAAGCCCTATGTATAGTTCATACAAATTCGTAATGCAAGGAGGGGTACAGTTTGTTTTCTTAAAAACGTAATGCGTGACGATGCATGGAGACCAAGTTTCAATTGTTACACGCCCAAACTATTGAAATTCAAGATTGTGCTAAATCACGAGCAAGCAAAATGGAGAAGGATCTAGAAGTTTATTGTCATCAGAATGCACTGGAATGAAGGCACGTGCTGAGAGAAATTAGAATAGATCTCAATTAAGTTATATTGCTAGTGTATAATTAGTGTGCAATAGCATTTTGACACTTGTATAGGTTTGTTACAATGAGTTGTACATATATATGTAGCTGTGCCGTTCAAACGAGCATAAGAAAAAAAAATACAGAATGAGTCTGGTTTATACTCCATAATTTCTATTCAATTGAGTTCATTTCATTCATAATATTGGTCTGTCATCTTTTCTTATATGGTATCAGAGCTAAGGATGGCTAAAAATGAAGGCAGCAGCATCAACTCTTATACAATTCAAAACCAAATACCACCTCAAAACTCAAACTCAAATCTAAATCCACAAGATCTTCCTAGCAGTCCATACTTCATTGGAACTAATGAAAACTCAGGATCATTACTGGTTACTCAAATGCTCAATTCTACTAACTACCACTCTTGGGCAAGGTCCATGAAAAGGGCTCTTCAAATCAAGAACAAATTGGGCTTCATTGATGGGAGCATCTGTGAACCGATTGATGTTGATAGTCCATTGATGGAGCATTGGCTTCGTTGCTATGATATTGTCATCACCTGGATGCAAAACACAATGACAGTAAACAGTAAGGCAAGTACTCTTTATGATGAGACAATACATCAACTATGACTGGAATTAAAACAATGCCTAGCTCAACAAAATGCTCCCAGAATCTATGAAGTCAAGCAAGGAATTGCAGAACTGGTGCAAGGTCAAGATTCAGTGAGCACTTATTTTTCGAAGCTGAAAACACTTCTTGATGAGTTGATGAATTATGAATCTATCCCCAATTGCACTTGTGGAAGGTTGAAGACAGTGGTTAGCAACCAAGAAAGAGATTGGGTAATGAAGTTTCTCATGGGGCTCAATGATTCTTACAAAATTCTCAAAGCTCAAATTCTACTGATAAAGCCTGTTCCCAAATTAAATGAGGTATATTCTATAATTCAGCAAGAAGAAAATAGAAGGGATATCTCTATTGATTCACCTACCACTGATGGAATGGCACTGGTGTCAAGAAGTATCCTTAAAGAAGCAGAGAAAAAAAAATCTAAGATGACAAAAGAAATATTTCTGCACATTTTGCAAAATACCTAGCCACTCGTTGGAAAGATGTTTTAAAGCTAATAAAGACAAGCCAATATGCACACACTGTAAAATGCCCCGCTACACTATAAAAAATTGTTTCAAAATTCATAGATATCCACCAGGCCACAAACTCTATGGAAGGACACAAGCGAATGCCACTTTCACACATCAGAATACTCCTATAGTACCTGCACAAGAGCAAATTGGTGACAGAAATCAAGTCAGTTTAACTCAAAAGCAATACGCTCAACTGATGGCTTTGCTCAAACCACAAACCAGTGAATCTCATACACTTTCTGCTAACCATGTTCAGGGTTTGAATTCAATCTCTTCCAAACACATAGATACATCAAAAAATTTTGGTACTCATATGTGTTTATCAGCTTACCACACAAAAGATAAGGCTAGACTTGTTACACCTTGGGTTGTGGATACCGGAGCTACAGATCATACGGTCAGCTCAGTTTCATTTCTCATAACTATCAAGTCCAAAATCTCTCAATCTATTACTCTACCTAATGGAGATATGATACTAGCTACTCATATAGGAAGTGTTAGAATCACAAAAGACTTGTTTCTCCATGATGTTCTATGTGTCCCATCTTTTTCTTTTAATCTTATATCTGCCAAGAAATTTGCTCAAACATCCAAGTGTTGTCTCATATTCTCCTCTGATTTATGTTATGTGCAGGACCTTTCAACTTGGAGGACGATTGGTCTGGGTGAGGTGAGGTGAGGTGAGGCAAGGCTTATATTATTTGGTGCAAAGAGAAGTCTCTTCTACAAGCTTGATTCAAGATTTACCAAAACTAGTTAACAAAACTGTTTTGTCAACTTCTACTGTTTTCAATCAAGAAGACTTTGATTTGTGGCATTTTAGGTTGGGTCACCTCTCAGATTCTAGATTGCACTTGGTTGATTTCCATCATGATCTTAAGACAAAAAACACCAAGAAACCCTGTCATATCTGTCCTTTAGTTAAATTACATAGACTACCTTTCAATATTAGCCATCACAGGTCAGAAAGTTGTTTTGATTTAATCCACTGTGATTTGTGGGGACCTTGTATTAAATTTGCCTATGATGGATCAAGATATTTTCTCACAATTGTTGATGATCACAGTTGGTGTACTTGGATTTATTTGTTAAAGCTAAAATCCGATGCCTCTGTTGTTTTGCAAAACTTTTATGCAATGATTGAAACACAATTTGATTCCAAAATCAAAGTAATCAAAGCTGATAATGGAGGGGAGTTTAATTTAAAACAATTTTATTCTGAAAAGGGCATTAAACATCAAACCACATGTATAGAAACTCCCCAACAAAATGCTATGGTTGAAAAAAAGCATCAACATATTTTAAATGTAGCAAGAGCACTAAAATTTCAGAGTAGGCTGCCTATGTTGTAATGGAATGACTGCATTTTAACAGCCGTCTTTCTAATAAACAGAACACCTATTCCTACTTTTAACAACAAAACACCTTTCGAAGTTATTTTCATGACTAAGTCATGCTATTCCAGTCTTAGAGTGTTTGGTTGCCTTGCTTTTACTACTACAGTTGCACACAACAGACATAAATTTGATTCAAGGGCAAAGAAATGTGTTTTCTTGGGATATCCATTTGGAACTAAGGGTTACAAGATAGTGGACTTGGAAACCAACAAATTTTTTATATCAAGAAATGTGGTGTTCCATGAGAACATGTTTCCCTACAAAGAGTCTAGTACTAAGGTTGATGAGAATCTGTCAACTCCTATTTATAAGTTGCCATGTCCTACAGACTTAGCTTACTCTAAACCAAGCAATGTTGACCTAAACTATCCTACTAATTCCAATTTTCAATCACAAGTAAAACCACCACAAAATTCTAGCCAAAGCACAAAATCTTTAGAAACAAATGAACCTCTTGATGAACCTGAGTCATCACCTAATGTCCCAGGTAATTCCCACATGCCTCGAAGATCTGATAGAAGTAGAAGGACACCTGCTTACCTGCAGGACTTTATTTGCCAGCAAGCATCCCCACTCACTCATTCTCAAGAGTCCAACAAGCATAAAGGTTGTATAACTTCAGGTAGTCCATTTCCTTTATGTGCAACACTTTCATATCATAGGATATCTGGCAAACACAAAGCTTTTGTTTCATCTATACTCACACAACCAGAACCTACTACCTATCAAGAAGCTGCCAAATACCCTGAATGGTGTGAGATATGCAGGCTGAGATAGATGCTCTTGAGTTAAACCGAACCTAGACTGTGACAGATTTGCCAACTGGAAAGGAACCTATAGGATTTAGATGGGTTTATAAAGTGAAGTTCAATGCTGATGGAACAGTTGAGAGGTATAAAGAAAAGTTGGTGGCAAAAGGATATAGCCAACTAGAAGGAATCGACTATCATGAGACATTTTCACCTGCAGCAAAATTGGTAACAGTGAGAACATTGCTTGTACTGGCAGCAGTAAAGGGTTGGTGCGTGCATCGATTTGATGTGAACAATACGCTTTTGCATGGAGACTTGGAGGAAGAAGTCTATATACAGATGCTTCTTGGTTATTATGCTAATGGGACTTCAAAAGTTTGCAAACTTAATACAATTTTGTATGGTTTGAGGCAAGCATCTAGACGGTGGTACTGAAAATTATCCGTCTTTATCATCGATTAGGGCTTTCATCAATCCAAGGTTGATTATGATTTATTAACAAGGAGCATAGGTGACTCTTTTATAGCAATATTAGTTTACGTTGAAGATATAATAATAGCTTGGGATAATGTGGAGGTTGTTAGTTCCCTTAAAAACTCACTTGATGATAAGTTTAAGATTAAAGATTTGGGAAACTTAAAGTATTTTCTTGGGATAGAAGTGGCTCGATCAGCAAGGGAAATTCAAATTTGCCAGGAAGTATGCATTAGATATTTTGGCCGATTCAGGAACCATTGGAGTCACTCCAGCCAAAATTCCACCGGATCAAAACACCAAACTGTCCAAAGATGAGGGAGAAGTTCTTTTTGACCCTGCATTATACAGAAGACTAGTAGGAAGATTGCTATACTTAACAATCACCAGACCTAATATAGCCTATTTAGTACATTTGTTAAGTTAGTACATGCAAACTCCTAGAGTGCCACACCTGAATGCTGTACATAAGGTGCTCAGATGCATCAAACGATCACCGGGCCAAGGACTATTGTTTCCTTCATCCTCTGATTTACAAATTAAGGCCTACAGCGATTCAGATTGGGGGCGTGCCCAAATTCTCGCAGATCAATCACGGGTTATTGTGTATTTATTGGTTCTTCATAGGTCCTCAGCAGAAGCTGAGTATAGGGCCATGGCAGCTGTTTGTTGTGAGCTAACATGGCTTACATATGTTCTTGATGATCTACAAATATCCCATTCACAACTTGCAAAATTGTTTTGTGATAATCAAGCAGCATTACACATTACAGCGAATCCAGTTTTCATGAAAGAATGAAACACATTGAGTTAGATTGCCATCTGGTGCGTGACAAAATACAAGAAGAGAGTGTTATTACAAAACATGTTAAGACTGGCTCACAAATTGCATATATATTCACCAAATCTCTCTTCTAACATTTTCTACTCTCATTTGTCCAATATGGGAGTAGAAAACATCTACTCTCCATCTTGAGGGGGGCTATTGAAATTCAAGATTGTGTTAAATCATGAGCAAACAAAATGGAGAAGGATCTAGAAGTTTACAGTCATCAAAATGCACTGGAATGAAGGCACGTGCTGAGAGAAATTGGAATAGATCCCATTTCAGTTATATTGCTAGTGTATAATTAGTTTGCAATAGCATTTTCACACTTGTATAGGTTTGTTACAATGAGTTGTACATATATATGTAGTTGTGCCGTTCAAAAGAACACAAGAAAAAAATACAGAATAAGTCTAGTCTGGTTTATACTCCATAATTTCTATTCAATTGTGTTCCTTTCATTCATAATATTGGTCTGTCATCTTTTCTTATACAAACAAATCAAAGGCGTAAAAAGGAATTTTTTTATTTTAATATTATTTTTAATTTTTAATCAATTTAAAAATCACTCAATAATACATACAAATTATAGTACCAAATGCAGTTTCAACATCTTAATAAAATAAATATATTTTCGAACATTAAACAAGATATATTGTAATAGTGTTAATTGAAACTAAATGTACGACATATCACAGGCAAACTAAATATACAATGTACTACAGTCAAATTAAAGGGATTATTATCCCACATTGAAAGTTTACAACAAAATCCTATGAGTTTCCCTTTATAAATTAGTGGACCAATAATTGGATAAGCAACTTTTTGAATCTTTCAATTTACTGGCCTAAAAGTTGAAAATTTTATAATTATTAAATTTGGACATTTCAATCCAATTGACCTAAAAGTTGAAAACTTTATGCAGTAAAAAAAAAATGAATTTAAAAAATATTATTAATGTGTGTCAAGGCACGCCTTAAACCGGTTAACGCTTTTGTTGACGGCTAAATTACCACATAGGTCCTAGACGTGGCGTTTTTGCCATGCCTTGAGCTTTAATGGCGCCTAGGCGTCACCAATACGCGCCATTTAGAATATTGTGCATGTAATTGGGATGAATAAATAATGATTGCACATATTTTCTTGAACGTCAATGTATCATATGGCTGCATGCCTTCATTCCTTTTTGGTGTATTTATTCTATCCAATTTCTATATTCAGGATAGAACGAAGGCACAAGTTTGGGGACCGTATTCTATATTATTCTTACCCTTGCCAACTGCCATTGAGTTCTATTCATTATCCTTTGCATGCATTTACAATGTCTGTCAGGCACTTGGAGAATTGGAAAATAAATTATCCCAACCCTAAATGAAGTTTCTTATTAATTCGTTTAAGAGCATGGTTGGATGGACTTATTATTAAACTGCATTTTTTTATTTTTTATTTTTTATATATGGTGAACTTAATGAAAAAAATTTATGAATCAACTTCAAGATTTTA